TTTCAAATTCATGGTTAGAGTATCGTGACATTGAAATTCAAAATCGTACGCCTAAAAAAAATATTTTGGATCTTCTTGGTTTTAGGAGTGAGGTTGCGGGCATGTTGATGAAGGCATGCTTGGTCACACCACAGCTTTGCCGACCTGTTGGTAGACCCAGAGCACTAGCAGTTATTGATGATTTAAATACTGTAATTCCTTGTCCAAAGCGAGCAAAGGCTGCAGAGAGACCAGTATCAGAGGTCCGATATGATCAGTTCCGTCATTTTCCAATCTGCATCAAAGAGTTAGGCCAAAGGTGCAAACTAGAAGGATGTAAAGGTCGTAGTAGGTTCAAATGCACTAAGTGTAATCTATTTCTGTGCTGCAATAGTGACAAAAACTGTTTTTTAAAATTTCACAACAAATGAACATCCTCCATTCTCTACCCATATCGCATTTATTTGTCGCATTTTGCTGTTGTATTAATACAAGTATTATGTAAAAATGCTTTAATACTGGTAGTCATATATTTGGCTATTTAAATAATTAAAAATTGACTTGTATTCAAATTTGACTTGGAATTGTATTATTACTATGATGTTGTCATGATGTGTTATTATTTTATTTTACTGCATTGATACACAATGTGTACATATGTACACATGCATTAATTTGCATAATTAATGAGCAATGGTCAAAACCTTAATATGGACATATCAGGATGTCCCAAATATCAGGTCCCAACCATTAAATAATTTTTTGTGATGAAATTCTGAGTCCGTCTCCAAAGGGGATAATTATAGTTCTTTTGTTTTGTTATTGTATTAATTACTTAATAAATCTTAATTAATTGTAACTGGCAACTGTTTTGGGTGTCCTATCTTTGATATTGTTGACTCTATGGTATTGTCTTTTGTTAGGCACTGTTTACAACGAGCCAATAAAATTAAAATAGGAGATTAATTTCTCATATTAGAAGCCAGTGTATTCTTAAAGATCTTTTAGTTTGTTATTAAAGACCATAATCTAAACCCTGTTTTGTTAACAGTGGACATTAGATTAAACTGATGCTGGCCTCTCAGATTGTCAGCCGACTGTTTCTACAGGTACTTTCTTTCCTCAAATCAATGTGGAATTGCGGAGGTACACATTCACTGTTATGGTGGACCTCATACTCCAAATCAAGGTAGATTTGAAGATCACGTTCACAGAGATGGTGGTCCTCTCACACACCAACATTAAGGTATAATGGCTGAGGTACACATTCACTGTGATGGTGGACCTCTCATACACCATATCTAGGTAGGATAATGAGATATAATGATATAACAGAGTAGGTGACTGTTAGCTTTATTACAAATATAATAGTAATAGAGCAGGTGACTGTTAGCTTTATTACAAATTAATAGAGTAGGTGACTGTTAGCTTTATTACAAATAGAATAGAGTGGCAGAATTTCAGGATAGTTATTAAATGTTTAAACTTACCGCAGACCATCAGTCGGCATAGGCATAATCTCCAAAATCACCCCCACCCACCAATATCCTGCAGTGCGTAACTTATCAATGGATGATAATAGCGCTGATCTGTACGTTTAGTATCGCATTTTTGCTCTTACAATTATTATAAACCTCCTGACATTTCGCACTTTAACTTTCCATTTATGCTCCTGTGGACATCCGCAACCCGGATCATTGTTGAAAATAATTTTTTTT